AGTGTGTGTCTAATATTGATTGAACAAACACAATTGCTTAATCGACTTCTTAGAAACAATTTTCCTTTCGAATTTTTTTCTTTCTTTAGACATTATCCAAAGTTCTATGCTCGTTAATGCGTTTCAATGCCGATCAGACACGTAAAGTATTAAGCTATGAAGAACAAAAAACCAAGGTCAGTTTAGTCAATCAGTCAATTAATCAATCAATCAATCACAACTTATTATACTTAATATATTTATGCCTAAAATCAATAAACATTTTTGTGTGCATGTGATGATGATACATGATTGATGATTTTAAATGTGTAAAAACACAAACCTCCAAAACTCTGCGCCAAAATATCGTAACAGTGCTCACTAGTGACCAGCTTCTGAGGAAATTCTCGGAGTTCTAGTTGAGAAGACGGACTAATGGAGTTCAACCCTGTCGGGTGTGGACAGTAACTACCCACCGGAGACAAAATGTTAGAGGTCGTGCAAAATCCCTAGATCATTAATCAGAGTTAGACATTAACACTGTTGGATGCCGGCCCAGTGGTCCGATGGTTAAGCGTTCGCCTACAATGCTGAAGGTGCCGGGTTCGAATCATGTGGGGTGCAGGAGTCGTGGATGCGCACTGCTGATAAGTCCCATACCAGGACGAAACGGCCGTCTTTCAGTGCTTCCAGGTTTCTTCTAATGGTGGTCTAACAATGATTGATCGATGATTTCAAACGCAAACCTCATCATTCTTATCTTTTATTTTATTCCCCCCCCCTCTCTCTCTCTAAATTCAATCATTCAAAAACTAACTTGAATTGTTTCGAGTTAGTTGGAAGTGTAGATGTAGCGCACTAAAACATACATTTTGATTTCGTCCAAAGTGTGACAAAAAAAAAAACAAAACCAAATACTTGATTAGTTGATACTAATTCTTAGAGTTCTAGTGAGAATACGTCGTGACCTGTCATGTGTAGGCAGTTACCCTGCTGAAGTCCAGTGCGTGTGGTTTGAACGAAACCCGTAGATTGTTCGAAGTTAGACACCCAGACCGTTGTAATGCTGTCCTAATGGACTGACAGACAGACAGATATAACTCAAAACCTCTTACTTGTACATCAGTTCTGAATTAGCACAGAGATGAAACTGTCAGTTCAAATCCAATACTGGTAGCGATAATAGAAGTATTAGCAGTATTAGAGAAAATTAGGGTTCGCAGATATGATTCGAGAAGTATAATTCGATGAGAAAGAGGAAGATAGAGATGATGAGGAGTTCAGAAGTTTAGAATTTGAGAGAACACAACCAGTGGATGCACCTGCGCCATTGTGAACGGATTCTGAGCCTTGTCACTCAAGGCATCTAACTATCGGTTGTCATCGTTTCGCGGTCAACCAGGTAGTCGACACATTCATGGATTTGTGCCATGTTTTGATTTGTCCGCCCCTAGATTTTCTTCCAACCCACTCCTACACCACAAGACATAGCTCGTCGAGGCAGTCGGTGGTTGGGCATTCGTGACACATGTCCCAACCACCTCAACTGCTTAAGTTTCAGTACTTCGCCTACTGATTGTCCATCCTTACCTATAACTCGTTCCCTAACGACATTATTACTCACTTGGTGATCCCATGATACACGAGCAATGCTTCAGAGGACACCTCTGATCGAAGACAAGCAACCTACGAATGTCCCCTACTCTCACCGACCATGCTTTGCATGCAAGTGGCCTGCAGGTTAGGTGTTTTTCACTCTAAAGCAAATGTCCTAGATTCGAATTCTATCAAGTGCAGGAGTTGTGGATGCGCACTACCATTGATGAGTCCCATAACAAGATGAAACTGCTGTTTAGTGCTTCCTGGTTTCTAATGGTAGTGATTTCAATGTGAAATTTCAGACCATGTAGTAACTTCAGGTTAACCAGAAATATCCACATTAGATAAGGTATATAGGAAACCATGTGAAGGGGCATATAATGATCGTGAGAAGGAAAAATCCGTTAGAAATGAATAACTAATAATTAATTAACCGTATAGATTGGTCTTTCTTTATTCTGCTGCAACTGGAATCTAAAAACTTGATTCTTTTACAGTTTATGTATCATATAATTCCTTCTGTCATAGTGTTCCAGTTAACCGATTAAATCAATTTGTGCATTGGTAGTAGTTAAGATATATATATATATATATATATCCTAAGCTCATCTTTCTCGTACTCATAGTGTAGGATGGACACCTTATCCAATGCTCATTCATCATCACTCCTTTTAACTGGGAATCATACCTCGAGAATTCCGGTCTTGTACACACAGAGTATGCCGATGTCACAGTCGTCTTTGGTCCAGAGACTGACGAAATGCAGCTTCTCATGACCATCCTAAGCAACAATGCAAACATGTTGGGATGCGGTTTTCCCCCTCGAAATGCAAAATGTTGCTTCAAGATTGGCTTGCATCGGCACCTAAACTAGTGATAGGGAGTGAAGCAGTCGAGCGTGTAGACCGCCTCACGTATCTGGGGAGTCTCGTCAGTGCTGATGGCCTGGTGACTGACGAAATCTCAGCTCGGATACAGAAGGCTCGATTGGCTTTTGCCAACCTGCGTCACTTATGGCGTAGGCGTGATATCCGTTCTCTAATCAAAGGACGAGTATACTGTGCAGTAGTTTGCTCCGTCCTACTTTATGGCTGTGGAACATCGCCAGTAAGAGTAAACGGTATTCGTAGGTTACTGGTTTTAGATCATGGGTGTCTTCGAAGCAATGCTGTCGTTAGGAGACGAGTACTAGGTAGGGGTGGCAGATCAATCGATGAAGTAGTGAAACTGCATCATTTGAGGTGGTTGGGACTTGTGTTACGTATGCCTAACCACCGACTGCTTTGACGAGCTATGTTTCGTGGTGTAGCAGTAGGTTAGACGAAAGATTGTGGCAACTAAACGAAAACATGGCACAAATTTCACTGAATTAGACTTGAATAGTTTTTTTCAAACCCTAATTTTCTCCATTACTGCTAATGTGGTGTGTGCTACTTATACAAACGATATAAGTAGTATAAGAAGGGACGTGAAAGAAGAAGTCTCACAGTCAGAAGAGGAAAACAGAAAGCAAATGGAGCAAAAGCAAGAAGTAAATGGAGTACCAACAGGAAGAAAAAAGGAAGCAACAACAGGAATGGAAGAAGGATGGAGTGTTGAAAGTCACGACTCAAAGATGGTGTGCAAATAGAGTATTCAATGTAATGTTTTCAATCTTCCTCGCCTGCCTCAGTCTTCTTACTACCTCTGCTACTACTATAGGATTTGAATTGACAATCGCATCTCCGTGCTAATGTGTGGTATGGCAACCTGAACTTATGTACTCATGTACGAAGTTCTACTTTGTAACTGACTGACTGACTAACTGACTAATACAACTAAATAACCTCCCCAAACTAATGAACCGAAATCCAACTGTTTTCACATAATTTACTGACTATGACAAAAAAATATATAAAGAATCTCTTCACTTAGCTCAAAAATTCTTCTTATTTTTTCCTCAAAACATCATTTCACAGCATTATGTCATTTAATAAAGAGAAAAGTGTAAGTTGTCAAAATAAAAGTCTGTGTGTGTCTTTAATCAACAAATAACAACACATTGAATTTAACAAATGATTTCAATGTTCACTAACGAACAAAAATCTCTCTCTCTCTCTCTAACACAACTGAATTTAAATTATTTGTGGTCGTGTTGTGTTTGGTTTTGGTACAGTGTTGAATTTTTGGTCGAATTGCGTTTTTTGTTTTATAGTATTTCAACTCGTTTTTTAAACTTTTAACAGGGTTTTTTAAAATAACCAAAAAAATTTTTTTTAAATTTTCACAGCGTTTTTTTAAATTTTTTTAAAAAAAATAAAATAAGAACTACTTTTAATTAAAATCTTCTTTAGCAATCGCTTTTAAACAATTGCGACGTACGTGTCTTGAATAACCTTGTAAATCATAACGTTTACTCCCTTTTCATCAAAAAAGTTTTTTGTGATAATTGAGTGATGAATCCTCGCATTATCAAGTATAAAAATACAATTCTTAAGAAAATTGATTTTTGATTGCATTTTTCAATTAGTTGATCAAAAAACTGAATGAACTTATTTGAATTCACCGAATCAACAAATGTTCATAAAATTTTGAGCATAAATTTGGCGTTTGTTTTTACTGGATTCCGAATTTATAGTGACCGATGTATAAGAAATTGTTGTGTTTGTGCAATATATACAATGACCCTGATGATCGCTAATCACTGTACAGACACGTCAGCCTCTCAATTACCAGCCCCACGGAATAGAGGAAAACAACGACTATGAGACAGATCAGATCAGATCAGATCAGATCGTTTATTATCTCAATCATGCCTTTATATACATGCAAAATCAGACTGCATCGTAAACCAATTAGAAAACTGACATCAATACAAAATAACAGTAATAGTGAGTGTGAACTGGGGTAACGCATGGCAGTCAATTAACTATAGTTCATAAATGAGAAATGATATAACAACAGTTAATGCCTCAAACAAGAGTATAGGATAAGAGCAACGTCACAATAATAGGAATAAAATGCTTACTTTGTATACAACCAAAAATAATGAATCTTAAGCAGAAAAAACAGTTTTAGGAGATAGTCAATCTTCTTTAAGTGCCCGCCATAACAGAAATCTTTTTCAAATTAATCTGAAGTCGATAAATTATCCTTCTTATATATAGATTTAAGAGAAAGGCCTATAGAAAATATGTTTTCTATTTTTTCTCGAATTTCTACCATCGTTATTAACGGGTTTAATTCTATCAATTCTTCAACAAAATTGATAATATCACCGCATATCTTCTTATTTGATGGTTTTCCTGTTTTTTTCTTCTCAACTCGCGATTCCTTTTTATTATACAACCTTATAATATTTGTAGCGGCCTGATAGTTTACATCTGTAAGAAATGCCGTATCCTTGACGCTGTTGTCCATCTTCAATAACTTTTTTTTTATAAGGCTTTTTCTTTTTTCATTCGAAATCAAGTTGTTTTTTCCTATTTATTTCTGACATTCTAAGGATTACAAAAAAAATTTTAAAAAACGCTGTGAAAATTTTAAAAAATATTTTGGTTATTTTAAAAAACCCTGTTAAAAGTTTAAAAAACGAGTTGAAATACTATATTTTAAAAGTTTGGGTCACCCAGGAGGGATTGGGTTTCTTTTTTTTCTCTTCAAATGTGTGTTTTGTACGCCTTCAGAACTGCGTATAATTTTCCTAATAAATAACAAGAAAGAATTAATTGGTGCAGTGAATAGTTCTTTGTTTTTTAATTGGTGAATTCATTTTTAAGACCTCTTTGTCTCACCTATGATGATAATTATATATTGTTGTTAGAGCTTTTAAGATGTGTATTGGTTTTAGTGGCTGCATTAAAAATACGAAGTAGGACTTATCGCTTTAGTGATGCGCAATCTGACTCCAGTTCGTATGAACGTCGGAGTATGCTATGAACTAGACATCCCTTTCAATTTCTGTATGCGAAACGCATCCAGTCGAATGAACAAAGTTCATTTAATCGTTCACACAGACAGAGATGTGAGAATACGAAGTCTAAAAGCAAGGCGATAAAGCATGACTAATTATAGTGAAGCAGAAATGGGTTAGACAGATATGAAGCGAACTGAGCAATACACACACACATACACAGTAAAATGGTTGACAAGATCGAAACGAATGTGAGTAGTTTGAGTAAAAATAGTTTGTCCACTTCTATCTGAAGTTTGTGCTACTGATGATGTTGTTCAGTAGAAGAACAATAAAAGCTCTACAACCAAAACATTTAACTCAGTGAACGAAACACCACCACAATCATCCACCTGAGCTCCAAATTTTCTCCACCATCTCACTTTGTCCAAAGGCTGGAATAAGGCATGTTGACACGATATATCAGTCAGTAGACAGTACAAGCGTTTGGAATAAGCGATAAGTCCAACTAATCATAGTTAAATACTTTATTACGATATGAAAAACAGGCTTAGCCAATAGACTGGTTTCTGAGCCGAATAGTCAAGTCGTTTTTAGCTGTTTAGTCAGGTACATATAACATCAGAAGCGTGACATATATACGTCAGTTCAAATTGCCACAACACACTAATTCGGCGAAATAAAATTATCGAAACAAAATCCCAGAAATGGGTTTAACAAGGCTAGTTGTTGTAAAAAGACTAAATGTAAGAAAAAATATATTATACTTCAAACCTAAGATGTAGAGTAAGACAAATTCCGTGTGTACCTGCATCCTTAACAGGTGATTGCGGACCACTGGTTAAGTAGACTGTTTCTTCCTTCCAAAATAACTCATTGTAATTGACTGACAACCACTCTTCAAAATTATTTCTTACTACCCCGCTTCTACATTAGACAATATTACCCGTCGAAGTAGGCTCTAGGTTGAGCATAAGTTTGTCACTTTTACTTAGAGAGTACCATTGCTTATATTCACTGGTTCCGAAACTTTTTAATCCATCAAAGAAAACCAACAGAACAACATAATTACTGTTTGTTTATAGAAAAAAGATGCATGTTGATTTTTTAAATCTTTTTCAGACATGGACTATTCGTACAGTGATTGAATGAAGACGGCAAGAGAAGAACATATTCTCCTTATCCGTTTTCTATTCTCCTCCTCTTCTCCTCATACAAACAAACAAACAACCGAACTGGTACACCATATAAAGATGATTATTATTTTTTTTTCCTGCATTACCTTGAGTTATTGTACATTTCCCCCCATAAGTGTGTGTGTGTGTGTATGTCAGCGTTACTACTACGCTTTGTGTCTTGAAGTCCTTCATGCGCGCTCCACACACACACACACACTTATCCTATTTAGGACAAACTATACTTTTGCAGTGTCACCGTTGATTTCGTTGATTCCATCATCATCATCATCATCGTCTTTGTGATCATTACACACACACTATGCGTTCGTTGTATTGTTTTTTTTCTATTTTCGTTATGTTGTGATATTATTATTGTGTAATGTGCATTGCATTTTTGTTTTTTCTATTTTATAAAAACAAGAAATGTACGGCTGTGATATGAATCATTTGTAATGCTACTACTCCTCCTAATAATAATCATAATCATAATATTCTCTTTGTATTTGAACACACTTTTCTTTTTTTTAAAAAAAAAAACAAATGAGATTGTTGAAAGACAATGCCAAATAATAATAATAATTATTATTTGATATATTTATTATTATTGGTATTGTGTTGTGTTGAATATACACACAGTGAAAATTTGATTTTTTTTTCTTCTGTTTCATAATAAATAATACACGGAAAAAAACTGTTGGATAATATGTCCTCTTTTTATTTTCGGAGAAAAAATTTGAGTAATAATTATGATATATATATATATATATATATATATATATATATATATATATATATACGATATTGTTGCGTGTAGATGTCCAAATCTGTTGGGGACTCACTTGATCAAGGCCTTAATTTTGAATTGTATTCATGGGCTGATCAGTTGACCTTGAGATCGCATTTCTCACCAGGAACAGCCTTGGCTGTGATTGGTTGATGTGTTTGTTATTTTAGTGTGCTATTTTTGTGACTCTCCCAAATACGTCTTCATGATGGATAAATAAACGCGATTTGTGTGCTTGAGTTTATTGTTTTTGCTGGGTGTTTGTAGGATACACTTTCTACGTCAGTTCCTTTATGTCAACGGATCAGATTAGCCTACCCGGATACTGGTTCATTGTCTCGTTTATCGGTTAAGGTGAACCCGTAATAGTTTCAAGCATAGCAAGTGACTACCATAACAAAATCAAATTGAAAAATGGTAGATTGTTTGAATATCATGTGCATCGGGTTAAGTCAATAAGCGAGTTCCCTGATAAGTCAGACGAAGATAGTGTTAACTCTAAAAGCATGTCTATGACAAGAATGGAGAAAGTGGACAGGCCTGAAGGATACCACTTGAAGTAGTCAGTTCCAATGAAAGTTCGACATAAATTCTAATTCGACCCGTAGTCATCGAGAGCCTGTGATAGGTTAATATAATTCTTTTCTATGATAAACACTGACATAAAACCTCACAATCAACAGAGTAAAATGCCGCCTTAAGATCAAGGAATACAACTATGTTTAGACGTCTGTTCTAGGACTTGCCAAAGTGTGTATATCTAGTCTGTACATCCAGGTCTGAAACCAGCCTGGCTTCATCTAGTCTCCGCTTCACGAGCGTCCAAGTTCTATCGAGGCTAATATCCTGGACACTATACTAATTAGTTTAACTGGTCCCTCTGTGATTGTCACAAGAAGACTTTTGTCCTTTCTCATAGATTGGGACAATCAGAGATTGCGACCACTCTGATGGGATTACGTCCAGTTCCCAGATTCTGCTTAAAATCTAAGTCAACCTAGCTTCTAAAACTGGACCACCATCCTTAAAAATCTCAGGAGTAAGCCTATCTAGATCCGCTGCTCTTCCTATAGCCTTTTAAACTTTATTAGGAGTGAGAGGACTTTTATTAATTTGCCATTCAGGTTGACTGGGGAAGATCGAGCGCGACCGAAGTGTGGCTGAGTACAATTTGAATCGATCCCTCAAGTGTTCTCCCCATCTATCCAATCTCCTGAATTGAGGATGAATAATATGGCCATCGTTTCTCAACGATATTCTCACTAACAGTCAGATTTCTTAATGAATCTGAACAGTTGTTGTCTAATGTTACCTATCACCATTACCTTTGCTGTCTTATTATTCTCGTTATTTCCTAAATTTATATTCAATGTGACTGACGAAATCTCAGCTAGGATACAGAAGGCTCGATTGGCTTTTGCCAACCTGCGTCACTTATGGCGTAGGTAAGAAATCCGTTTGCTGACTAACGGACGAGTGTACTGTGCAGTGGTTCGCTCCGTCCCACTTTATGGCTGTGAAACATGGCCAGTGAGAGTAGAAGATATTCGTAGGTTACTGGTTTTCGATCATAGGTGTCTTCGAAGCATTGCTCGTGTATCGTGGGACAACCGAGTGAGCAACGCTGTTATTCGGAAACGGGTGCTAGGTAAGAATGGCAGATCAATAGATGAAGTGGTGAAACTTCATCAGTTGAGGTGGTTGGGACATGTCTTGCGTACGCGGCCAAAACCAAGACATGGCACAAATCCATGAAGTCATTGACTAGTGGAATTAGCCATGTCGGTAATTGTCGACTACCTGGTTGGGGTCCGCGAGATGATAATAATCGATGGTTAGAGACGTTGAATGACATGGCTCAAAATCATTCGCAATGGCGCCGGTGCATTTATTCTCTGTGTTCTCCCAAATCCTAATCTTCTGGATTCTTCAACACCTCTAGTTTTGACTTCCTAAACTTATCTCACTGAATCATACTTCTTGAATAATATCTTCTAATCCTAACCTTCTAATACCTTTATTATATCTTCTACTATTGGATTTGAATTGACAATTACATCTCTGTGCTAATAATGTGGTATGGCAACATGAACTGATGTACTTACGTACGAAGTTCTACGTTGCATCTGACTGACTGACTGACTGATATTCAATGTGTGTTATAATATTAACTTGATCGTGTAAATCAAGCACGTACGTAAATAATTAAGAGGAAGAAAAAAAGAAGAAAGTATAAAAAATACCACAATAAAATGTATGTCTCTTTTTTTTATTGGTTGTCTGTATAATATTTCATTATATTCACGAATCATATATATATATATATATATATATATTTCTCAATAACATGTATATATACACACATGCATACACACAGAGAGAGGAAAAGTGGAGAGCAAAAAAATTTACCAATTAGAATCCGCAAAAAAACAATAAAAATAATTACAAAGTGAATTGGCAATCTTGATCAAAGTTCTCCTAGTGTGAATGAATGGTTAGTTGGTTAGTTATTTCCATGCAACAAATTGTTTAATACTACCATCTTCACCACCACTATATACATAAGGTTGACATGGATGAAATACGGTAGAGAATACATTCGATTGATTCATTGGTTGTCCTGTACGTATTAATTGAACTGGTATAATAATTGGTTTTGATAATAAATCACTGAAATAAAATGTAAGTAAGGAATATATATATATATATGTATTGGTATCATTATTGATGAAGATGGAAGAATATACATAATATTTGATAACACATGTGCAACGGAGTGAGTGAAGTTGTTGAGCGTGTTGACCGCTTCACCTATTATCTTGAGAGTCTCTACATTGGCCTGATATGTGACAAAATCTCAGCACGGATACAAAAGGCTCAATAGGCTTTTGCCAACCTTCGTCATTTATGGCGTAGGCGAGATATCCGTCTGCTAACCAAAGGACAAGTTTACTGCGCATCAGTTTGCTTCGTCCTACTCGATCGGTGTGATACATGGCCAGTAAAAAAGCGAGGATATTCGTAGGTTACTGATATACGGTCATCTGTGTCTTTCAAGGATTGTCTGTATATCCTGGGATAATGGAGTGAGCGATACTGGTGTTAAGGAAACGGGTACTAGTTAAGGATGGCAAATCAATTGACGAAGTAATAAATCTTGATCAGTCGAGCTGACCCGGACATGTGTTCTTGTATCCGACCACCGATTACTTCGACGAGCGATGTCTAGTGGGGATGGTTGGAAGCTAAGGGCGGCCAAACCAAAACATGGCACAAAACCATGAACTCACTGACAACTGGACTGAGTCATGTTAGTGTTAGGTGTAGACTACCTAATTAGAGTGCACAGAATAATAATAACCAATGGTTATAAAACTTTGAATGACATGGCTTAGAATCGTTTACAATAGTACAGAGGCATCAATTCACTGTGTTCCCTTAAAATCTAATCTTCTGAATTCCTCCTCATGACCTTTTCTCTCTTTTTGAATTTATTACACTGGATTATACTTCTCCTATCATATCTTCGAACCCTAATCTTTTTGATAACTGCTCATACTTCTGCTACCTCTACTACTATGGGATTTGAATGGACAATTCGGTCTCTTTGTGCTAATGTGATATGGCAACTTGAACTGATATGCGGACATTCGAAGTTTTGCGTTGTAGCTAACTGACTAAAACCTGTGAAAAAATTGACTCGCAAAAGTTACGCTGATTTTAGACTGTATTTTAATTTACTTACTTATGCCTGTTACCCCCTGAAGAGCATAGGCTGCCGACCAGCATTTTGGAATTAACTCGGTCAAGGGCATTCCTCTACAGTTCTACCTAACCACTGTTCATTCTTTTCATGACTAGTTATTTACCTCCCATCGAGTACTTACTACAGATTGAGAATCGATGTGCTTCATAGTATTAGATTACACTTCAATCTGTTGGACAGCAGTTGTCCATGCATACAGAATGTACCTGGCAATTCTAATTACATTTTGAAAGCTCTGTATACATATACAGTGAAATTAGGCAGAGTTGTCCAACCTTGCTATTCCTCTTCAACTTCGCGACTGATGACATTCTGAAAATAGCTCGGAATGAAATCGTGGTGGTGTGGATATGTTATCTGGAGAAAGAATTTGTGTTCTTGAGTATGGATGGAACTGTTTTACTATGCGACTATACTCAAGTTGCAGAATTCGCAACTAACTGGTTGAAACTTCTAAGTAAAAAGTACTTTTATAAAACTGCAATAACTCTGCCTGGTCGCTCATCAATGCTCCGGGATAGTCGAGAATGGGAAGAGTTCACCCTTTCTCATAAAATCCTTTCATATGTCTACGCGTGTATAGGTACTATCAGAGAAGTCCTACACACTAACGTCTTACGGTACGAGTTTTGTTTACGAAACTGAGAAGACGAAAAGTGAATATTTCGCCATGGATAAATAAGACAGGGTTGGTGGTTACGAAAACCCACCCAAAGGAATTGAGAAATTCTGATTCCAAACCAGTGATAAACATGTGCTACAAGATCTTAGCGGAACTAATGGTGTACGAGCCTATTATTGATCACCGGCCACCACCATGGGACCGCATCTCCTGATGTTGTCGCACTGACTCGTACATTAGACCTGTGGACTGAAAGCTTAAGGAAAGAAAACAATCTGCTTTTGTTTAAGAACCCCAGACAACATCTGAAGCCACTTACAAATTTAATAATTAGTGCACTACTCTGTATCAATGTTTATGTGCTTAAATAAAAAAACAATTTAATTGAAAAGTTCATGTGTTTGGGTAGTTGTGCAACACATGCTGCTGATGATGTGAAGTGAAAACCATAAACAATTTATGCTAATGTAGGCCGATTTTTTGGCATCACTGTAGTGTTATCATCCCAGCTAACAAAGATTAAGTCTACAGAGTGTTAGTAAGAGTGATTTCGCTTCTATGCTTGCTTATATAACATCTGACATCCTAGAGTTTCGTTTGTTCAATAACGTTTTACGACCGATCATACGTTATGGGGAAATCAATCTTGCCATTTAATAGAAATCAGTCAGTTGCAGCAACGTAGATCTTCCTACTTACGTACATACCACACCATATTAGCGCAAAGACGACGACGCAATTATCAAGTGAAAACTTGAGTAGTTATCAACTTGGAATTCGTTTAAAAAACAATTTTCTGCATTAATCAGTAGTACAAAATGAAGTATTTGAAACAAAAAAAATAGAAACACACACAGACACACACAGCGCAGCATAAACAACAATTTCACTCACTCAATTACTTTCCCATGAATAATAAGTATGGTACCATCACTTAATGCCACCGAAACTAGTGGACGTCGATGATGAATTGCTAATTGTCGAACAGCACCATGATTAAGTCTAAACAAACAATTGAAAGAATTAAAAAAAGGAGAAATTTATTCATATTCCATGAATCCAATGCAAGTACACAAGAGCAAAATAATACAACATCTATGTTAAGAGTTATGCGACCAATTGTTAGGATATTATTCACCGAATATCATAAAACAGTGCTATTTTTTGGAAGTATAATCCTATTGGTCGATTTCTATTGGTCAAAATTATGGTCGTTTTAATTGTCAAAGTCAAATACTTCAATGTTGTCTCTGATTGGTCATCCGGACTGTCAATGTCATTTCAAATGTTCTTTCCTATTGGTCGTCTAAAACTGTCAATGTCACAGACTTCAATGCTGTTTCCTATTCGACCTAAATGTATAAATACGCACTATCTTCATGTTTCCGTTTCTTCCTGCCTACCTCTCTACTGTACTCGACCTAATAAACAACTCCATTCAACGGTGTTGCGTTCTGATATATAGGAGATTTGGCAATACTATTTGGGTCGTATTGGAATATTTGAATTCGGACGTCGGTAGGATTTGATTAGCTACGTAGCAGCACTATAACACCAATATGTTAGACATCATCAGCAACAACCTACTGTATGACAGAACAGATTCTAGTTAATGAAGAAGCATTGAAGCTAGATAGGACAAACATTGTGGAAAACATTTAACTAACTGCGTCACAAGACAAGCCCCATTTACAACTCTCATGACCAAAGGAAAAGAGGAAGACCGATCGAAAACCTCATTACGCTGAGAACTGAAGACAAAGATGAATTGAATGGACAGCAATAGGACAGAACTGGAAAGGAAGGCTCAGGACGGTCTATGCTCCATCGGGGGGGCGGGTAGTGGGCACAGGTAAGTAACCAATGTGCATTACAAACTATATATGTAAAGGTTTTGAGCATACGGGTAGTGATAACAGTAAATACCATGTGATAAATATGACGCTTAAATCAAAATTATTGGCTTAGTCAATCAGTTAGGACGTAGAACGTCGTACATGAGTACATCAGTTCAGGTTGTCATACCACATCAGCACACAGACGCGACTGTTAGTTCAAATCACATAGTCGTACAGATAGTAGAAGTGCTACTGGTAGTGGAGAAGATTAGGGCTCCAAAATATTACTCAAGAAGTATACTTCATTGAGATAACTTTAGAAAGAGAATGGTAGAGATGATTAGGAATTCAGAAGGTTAGAATTTAGGAGAACACAAAGAATAAATGCATCGGCGCCATTGCGAACGATTTTGAGCCATGTCATTCAGGGTCTCTAACCATCGATTATTATCATCTCGCGGACCCCAATCGGGTAGTCGACGACTACCAACATGATTCAGTCCACCTGTCAGTGGCTTCATGGATTTGTGCCATGTTTTGGTTTGGCCGCCCCTAACTTTCTTCCAGCCTACTCCTACACCATAAAACATAGCTCGTCGAGGCAGTCAATGGTTAGGCATACGTAACACATTTCCTAACCACTTCAACAGATGAAGTTTCAATACTTCATCTATTGATTTTCCGTCCCTACCTAGTACTTGTTTCCTCACGACAGCATTGCTTATTCAGGAGATAAGAGAGAGAGAGTTATTAGATGTAGAAAGGATCCGTTTGTGACCAATTCGGTCTCGTGTGCTTCTATGGCTAGAAGGGTAGGTCTCACTTCCCGGCTGCCTACGACGTGGAAGGGTTCTGGTTGTCAGAAGAGGCCTCGTGACTTCCGAATGGACTAGGCTTTCATCATAAGACGTCATAACTCTTCTAAATGAAGACCTTCTAACTCCCAGTGCAGAGTTTATCTGCTTTGAATTTATTTTTCATAGTATGCGAAATCCGGCTGGTACACAGTTATACATAATAAAAATCTGAAATGATCATGTTGCACCAATAGAATAGACGGATTGCAAGTAGTCAAATTTATAATACAATCGTTAATATCAGTATGGAATAGAGTATTGTTTGGAGACGATCTGGTTTTTCTTTTATTTCGATCGTGTATCGGGTATCTGATCTAGTTTGATTTAGTCTCTGTATAGTGTATCGTTCGATTACCTATCTAATCAAGCGGTCGTATAAACCCAGTTAGCCTTGCTTACTTTAGCCGATTACACACCTATAATGGAGCATAGGCCGGTAATCAAGTTCAGTTTTATTACCGTCTTATTATAGTACACCGCGGAAAGAAATGTATTACGCCAATTCTGAGACAGTGATCAATAGTACACAATGTACGAGGGTTGCACCATTTCACGAATTGATTGTGGTTACAGATAATAAACACACTATCGGATACTAGCTCAGTGTTCAAGAAAGAGGTCAAGCGTTCGCACGCGAGACTAAGGGTCTTAGGCAGAGTCCTTTCTATTTAATTCATTTCAAAAACCGAGGCAGAAGTAGTAGTAGTAGTAGTAGTAGTAGTAGTAGTAGTGGTAATATTGGTGACCTTCACACCAGAAATTTCGTTTAAAGATGAATACATAGACCCGTACTGTTGAGTTTTATTATATTAGGTAATGTTCAATAGAAAACTAAAGAAAGATTTCTATACAACGAACGAGTATCATTTGACCTCATACCTGACGAGTAAGTACATGGTGAATCAGTTAATTATGAATTGAAATGTATATTTATGACCAAGTCAATTAAATATAAACTTACTGTAACTTTTTGAATGGAACATTACCCAGTTCAATATCGAACCAATTGAAACGACTATCGTAACTGCCAACAACTAAATGATCTCCTATAAATCATAAGAAAAAAAATAGTTCAGCATATATGAAGGCTACAATAAACATTACTCTAACATAGAAATCGAATAACTGAGAGTTTCTTTTAAAGGAGAAAAACATGTTTATAAATTCTAAGACGATTGAAGTTAAACAGGAGGAAACTCTACACCTTGGTTTTGTGTTTGTGGAGATGAGTTGGCGAGGCGTGCCTACGGTCATTCAGCTTCAAAGTCGGAGACGTTGTCGTATTGACCTATTAAGAAAGCCATTGACCTCGTGGGACTCATCAGTAGTGCATATCTGTTATAATGACGCTAAAGTAGCTATTCAAATCCTACCGATGTCCGAATTCCGATATTTCAATACGACCTCAAATACTATTCCCATATCTCCTCCTATATATTAGAACACAACACCGTTAGATGAAGTTGTCTATGGGATCGAGTACAGTAGAGAGGAAGGCAGGAAGTAATGGAATGGAATGCTGTACAGATGATGCGTATTTATACATTTAGGTCGAATAGGAAACAGCATCTACGTCTGTGACATTGACAGTCAGGACGACTAGTAAGAAACAACATTGGAGTACACGACATTGATATCTAGGACGGAGCGAACTACTGCACAGTACACCCGCCCTTTGGTTAGCGAACGGATATCACGCCTACGCCATAAGTGACGCAGGTTGGCAAAAGCCAATCGAGCCTTCTGTATGCATGCCGAGATTTCGTCAGTCACCAGGCCATCAGCACTAATGAGACCCCCAAGATAAGTGAAGCGATCTATACGCTCAACTACTTCACTCTTTTTATCACTTGTTCAATTGTCAATGCAACTCAATCTTGAAGCAACATTTTGCATTTCGAAGAGGAAAACCACATCCTGAACATGCTTGCATTGTTCCTTAGGGTAATCAGAAGACTCTACATTTTGTCAACGTCTTCCACCAAGTAGGACTATGTCATCAGCATATTCTCTAAGTCAATCAGCGAGCCACCTGATACAATGTCTACTCCTGAAAATTCACACAAGGATAATAGGTTAATGTACACTGTTTTGATACACCTTTCAATGACAGACATTATTGCCATAGAATCTTAACGATCCAGGCTTAGTCAAATGTCGCTTCTTTTTTTTTTTTCAATCTCCATAAATTGATTATATTAATTGAGAAAAAAAAAATTATTCACAATAATTAAAAATAATAACCAAATGAGTAATTAACCTGATGGATGAATTGCCATACAACTAATAATGTTCGATGAACTTTCTAAACGTAAACAACGTAATTCTTTTTGTTCCATCAAATCATATATACGTATTGCACGTGGACTAGCAATGAATAAATGTGGTTTACCAGTTGGATGAAATCCTGCTTGTTTCCATTCAATTGGTTTACCTGTATCAGTGAATGGTGTTTGACTAGACATTTTTGATAAACGATGCAACAGTAGTCGTTTAGCTGATCGTGAACGAATATGTGATGCGAGAATTGGACGTGATAATGTCAATAGATAATCACCTTTTGGATGCCAATCTAAACTAATAATAGGCTATGGGAGAGAGAGAGAAAATATACATATATATATATACATATATCTATCTAAGAATACATGAAACATACATACAGAATACCTGTTTCGGTTGTCGTATGAAGGTCACTGACAATTGGATTGAGTTATGTTTAGTAAGAGTGAAAAGACTGGTTCGGTTGAAGGGGGCTCAGCGAGACAATGAACAGTAAGTAACCGATGGTTATAGAGACTTTGAATGATATGGTAAAAAAAAAAAAACGCTTGCCATGGAGTACAGATGCAATCATTGTTTGTTTTCTGCCGAAATCTACTCTGAATTAGTCATTATGGCCTTCTTTTGAATTTATTTCACTGGTTTTATTTATACTTTAGGAATGATATTTTTTTTCAATCCCTAATCTCTTTCTGATTACGCCTAATATTTCTACCTACCTATGACTACTACTATGAGATTTGGAATTGACAATTTCATTTGTCATTTGTGATAATCTGATAAGGGCTAGTTGTACCGATGTACGTAAGAAAGAAATCCATGAAATCATTGACGAGTGGTAATTGTCGACTACCTGGTTGGGGTCCGCGAGATGATAATAATCGATGGTTAGAGACCTTGAATGACATGGATCAAAATCGTTCGCAATGGCGTCGGTGCATTTATTCTCCGTGTTCTCTCAAATCCTAATCTTCTGAATTCTTCAACCCCTCTAGTTTTGACTTTCTAAACTTATCTCACTGAATCATACTTCTTGAATAATATCTTCTAATCCTAACCTTTCCGATTACTTCTAATACCCTTACTAACTCTTCTACTATTGGATTTGAATTGACAATTACATCTCTGTGCTGATGTGGTATGGCGACATGAACTGATGTACTTACGTACGAAGTTCTACGTTGCATCTGACTGACTGAGTGACGTAAGTACTAAGATTTCTATGTCAATGAAAGTATTTATAATTTGAGATAAATGACTCAGATCTAAATAGACTGTCTCTCTTGAAAATGTATAAAAGTTCATTAAGCAATTCGCGATTAAGGAGGAAATAATAATTCTAAGGATCATATTCAAGGCTCAAAGTGTAATCGTATAATTTAGTTGGCTTAACTCTATCGATCAGTCAGTCAGCCACAACGTAGGACATAGTACGCACGTACATCAGTTCAAGCTGCCATACCACACATTAGCACAATTCAGATTCCATAGTGGTAGAGTAGAGATAGTAGAAGAAGTATTAGCGGCAATCGAGAAGATTATGGTTCGAAGATATTATTCAAAAAGTATAATTCAGTGCGATAACTTTAGAAAGAGAAAGATAAAGGTAATGAGGAATTGAGACGATAAGAAATTCAGAGAACACAATGAGTAGATGCACCTGTGGCATTGTAAACGGTTTTGAGCCATGTCGTTCAAAGTCCCTAACCATTGATAACGTTCGTCTCGCGGACCCCAACCAGATAGCCTATATCTACCAACAAGACTCAGTCCTCTTGCCTGTGACTTCATGGATTACTGCCATGTTTTGGTTTGGCCGCCCCTAGCTGCCGTCCAACCTACTTCTACACCACAAAACATAGCTCGACGAGGCATACATAACACATGTCTCAACTACCTTAAATGATGAAATTTTAATACTTCATCTATTGACCTGCCATCCTTACCTTAAACCCACCCGTTTTTTAACAACAGAATCGTTTACTCGGTTGTCCAAGGATATACGAGCAATGCATCATTAATCGAATACTAATAACCTACGAATGTTCTCTACTCTTACCGGCCATGATTCGCACCCATATAGTAGGATGGAGCGAACTGCTGCGCAGTACACTCGTCTTTCGGTTAGCGAACGGATATCGCGTCTACACCATAAGTGACGAAGCATGGTAAAAACTAATCGAGCCTTATGAATGCATGCTGAGATTTCATCATAACTCATGAAACTACCAAGATAAATGAAAAGGTCAACACGCTCAACTGCTTCACTCTAAATCAACTAAGAGAATTGAGCTTACCCCATTATTAAACAAACATAAAATCAGTAAAGAGTTCTAATATTCATGTGTACAAAATAGAAATCAATGGATACATATTCAACATGACATTGTTTTTCAAAATATTGGTAAATGAAACAATGATTAATTCTAATGTTTCATTTAACACTTCGGTAAGACAATCATGTTTTTTCGCGGAAATTATTTAAAATATAAGTAGGGTTCAGAAAAACATTTGTGCACTAAACGATTGTTTAATTAACTACTTACTTACTTACGCCTGTTACCCCCAATGGAGCATAGGCCGCCCACCAGTTTTCGCCAAGCAACTCTGTCCTGGGCTTCCTTCTCCAGTTCTGTTCAATGTTTGTTCATTCCTCTCATATCTTTCTCTATTTCTCGGCGTAATGTATTCTTTGGCCTTCCTCTTTTCCTTTTGCCTTGAGGGTTCCATATAAGGGCTTGTCTCGTGACGCAGTTAGTTGCTTTTCGTAGTGTGTTTCCTATCCACTTCCACCGCTTCTTCCTGATTTGCTCATCCACTAGAATCTGGTTTGTTCTCTCCCACAGTACGTTGTTGCTGATGGTGTCTGGCCAACGAATACGAAGTATTTCGCGTAGACAACTGTTAATAAAAACACTTGTATCTTCTGGATGATGGCTTTCGTATTTCTGCAAGTTTCCGCTCCATACAGTAGAACTGTTTTGACATTTGTATTGAAAATGCTGATTTTGGTTTTGGTTGAAAGTTGTTTGGAGTTCCAGATATTTTTCAACTGTAGAAATGCAGTTCTTGCTTTGCCAATCCGCGCCCTCACATGTGCATCGGATCCACCTTTCTCATCGATGATGCTGCTCAAATATGTAAAGATTTGAACGTCCTCCAAGGCATCTGCATCAAGAGTGAGTGATTTGGTTGGTGCATGTTGTGTTGCATCGGAGAATTTCGCTTTTCCCTTTATGTATGTTGAGACCTACTGATGCAGAGGCTGCTGCTACACTGGTCGTCTTCTCTTGCATTTGTTGTTGAGTGTACGATAGAAGAGCCAAGTCATCTGCGAAGTCCAGATCGTCCAGCTGCGTCCTAACTGTCCAGTTGATACCGTGTTTCCCTCCAGATGTCGACGTCTTCATAATCCAGTCGATTGATGACCAGGAGAAAGAGAAAGGGTGAGAGTAAGCAACCTTGCCTGACACCGGTCTTCACCTCGAAAGAGTCTGTTAGCTGTACTTCGTGTACGATTTTGCACTTGAATCCATCATAAGAATTCCGTATGATGTTAACTATTTTCTCAGGCACACCGTAGTGTTGTAGAAGCCTCCACAGTGTTTTCCTATCCACGCTATCGAATGCTTTCTCGTAGTCAATGAAGTTGATTTTAATTAACTAAGGGGATATTAATCTAAACCGAGTTATTTTTTTCATTCAATTTGAAATACCTTACAGTGATTCCACAGTGAGAATATTAACTCTAAGTTGTGGCATCTATATCCAACCAAAGACAAGTCCCAAGCAGGATAAAAACACGAGTTCTAAATACCATTGTTAACCACATTCTATCTATTTTAAGAAAGAGTTTGTTTGAATCGCTTCAGGTTCAACAACTTACAACAAAATAGTTAGTTCCCTTCTTTCTATTTATGTTCTTCATACACTTGACGCCCAATTATTATTGAACTCATTTGGTTCAAATTTGAATAAAACTTTTTTTTACACAAGTGATTAACAGTTTTCGAATTGTTGTTTTTGTTATCACACATTGAAATCATGAATCAATCATTGTTAGACTACCCATTAGATTAAACCTAGGAGCACTGGACGACAGTTTGTGCTCTCGTATGGGACTACTATTCATTAGCCAGTGCTCATCTACGACTCCTGCAACTCACCTGAAATCGAACCCAGGAGCTTCAGTCTTGTGCGCGAACGTTCAATCTCCTTATCACTGGTAAGACTGAAGCTCCTGGGTTCGATTTCGGGCGAGTTGCAAGAGTCGTAGATGAGCACTGGCTAATGAATAGTAGTTCCATACGAGAACACAAACTGTTGTCCAGTGTTTCTAGTTTTAATCTAATGGGTAGTCTAACAATGATTGATTCATGATTTCAACGGATAAATAGTTTGATTTATCTTATTCTTGATGAGTATTTTATTCAAAAATGAATGAATAGAAATGGGGAATTAAATAATAGTCGAACTCCAAACAAATATCTGTCAACACCCAAATCAGGATTTTCAATACAAACGTCAAGACAGTTCTATTGTATGGAGTGGAAACTTGGAGAACTACGAAAGCCATCATCCAGAAGATACAAGTGTTTTTATTAACAGTTGTCTACGCGAAATACTTCGTATTCGTTGGCCAGACACCATCAGCAACAACGTACTGTGGGAGAGAACAAACCAGATTCTAGTGGATGAGCAAATCAGGAAGAAGCGGTGGAAGTGGATAGGAAACACACTACGAAAAGCAACTAACTGCGTCACGAGACAAGCCCTTATATGGAACCCTCAAGGCAAAAGGAAAAGAGGAAGGCCAAAGAATACATTACGCCGAGAAATAGAGAAAGATATGAGAGGAATGAACAAACATTGAACAGAACTGGAGAAGGAAGCCCAGGACAGAGTTGCTTGGCGAAAACTGGTGGGCGGCCTATGCTCCATTGGGGGTAACAGGCGTAAGTAAGTAAGTAAGTAAGTAATTTTAAAAAAAATTGGTGAATTTACATCAGTCACATTGATGATGATGCGATGACGTTCAAATGTTTTAGATTTAGCCATTTTATTCATTGTCTGTGATGACGATGGTATTTTAATAGTCCATTTAGCTAGTGTTTTCATTTCAATCTCTGTCTGTTGTTCATCATCGTTATTCATTAGTTCATTATCTAGACGTGATTGTTTACTTGGCATAGGTTCATCAGTTTCATTATTATCCTAAATTTAGAAAGAAAAAAAAAGAGAAAATATACATATATTAGTGTTAACTATACATCAAACTGTTTAGGTTGAATTCATTACACAGAGATGATGGATGAGCCAACTGAAGCTGCTACCTTGACATGGTGGTGGTCAGGCTTGCCTATCGTTATGACCTAACTGAGCTATATTGACTCGAACATATGTTTCTGTAGGTTCTAAAATGCCAGGCAGGTCGATTGGAGAACGATCAGACTAAAAGCAACTACTCAAGGTCCAAGGGCGAAGTCGTAATGCTGACTGACTGTCGTTGGGTGTGACAGCAGTAAGGTGTTTCCCTCGAACAACCAGCATATGCAGCCTTCTCACAAAGAAGGAAGCAGATAGAAAAGATCAACCCTAAAAATGTCACCCCCCCTTTACTCTGTGGATTACAGTCTCCAGCTGTAAATTTAGCAACTTAAAAACTCTTGGATTTGAACTGACAGTTGCGTCTCTGTGCTAATGTGGTATGACAACCTGAAATGATGTACTTACATACGAAGTTCTACGCTGTAACTGACTGACTAACTGACTGAGTTGATGAAACTTGTCACTCGATACATGGATTGACACTGATTTACGAATCAATACATCAACGGAAACACAGAAATTGAAGCGATAAATTAATTACTTGAATAATTAGTTTTCTCTCATAAAGTTGTCTGCATGAACCATGACACACTAAATGAACTTTTTTAAGCCTCAGAAATTCCATGATACAGCTAAAAAAGTGGATAGAGTCTGTTCTCCCTCTGAAAATCCCCTCATATTGCCACGCGTATACAGTCACTACATGGAACGTCCTACCCACCAACATCTTGTGATACAGGTTTTGTTTACGAAATCGAGAGGACAATCCGGATGTTTGGTGCTTAAACTGGGTTAGTGGGTAGAGAGAATCTGCATCTAAATAAGTTGGAGAATCCTGATTCCGAACCAATAATAAACACGGGCTGCATGATCCTGAGGAAAAAAATGACGTACGAACTTGTTGTTAGTAGTCACCTGTTACCATGGGACTGGATCTACTAACGTTGCTCCACTGTCTTTTGCATTAGACCTGTAGGTCAAATGTTCGATAAGTGGCCTTTTAAAGAAGCCGCCTGTGGACACCATTTAATAACAAAATATGTGCACACCATATCTTCAAACCTTCATCTGTGAAACAAGCAGATTATTGGTTGCCTTCCTTCACATATCTTCTAGTCTTCATAACACTTTGATCGTACCACACATTCGAATCCAAGACTCTTTCTCTTCAATCGTAACTTCTAGGCGACATTCCGTTGCACCGTACTACTTATGAGCCATATTACGAGTAGTATCTGCTACACAGACATCAAACTTATATTTCCAGTTATTTTAGAATAAATTTCTAAATTCTAGATATAAAGTCATTCGATGTTACACCATCAACCAGCGATTGTGTCTGTAGCATACAGTTCAATTTACTGAATTTCTTGTGAGGAGAAAGTAAGAGAACTTTATTCGATTAAAAATAAACTGTACCAGTCTACAAGATTATTCATCTTATCTATTGTCAGACATTTCGTGTCGAGTATCTGTTAGGATATTATTCACCAAATATCATAAAACAGTACTATTTTTGGAAGTATAATCCTATTGGTCGATTTCGATTGGTCAAAATTATGGTCGTTTCAACTGTCAAAGTCAAATACTTCAATGTTGTCTCTGATTGGTCAATCGGACTGTCAATGTCATTCATTTCAAATGTTCTTTCCTATTGGTCGTCCTAAACTGTCAATGTCACAGACTTTGATGCTCTTTCTTATTCGACCTAAATGTATAAATATGCACTATCATGTAAGACTTCAGGATTCCGATTCCGTTGCTTCCTGCCTACCTCCTCTCTTCTGTACTCGACCTAATAAACAACTCCATCCAACGGTGTTGCGTTCTGATATATAGGAGATTTGAGGACAGTACTTGGGTCGTATTGAAATAATCGAATTCGGACGTCGGTAGGATTTGAATAGCTACGTAGCAGCATTATAACAGTAGCATAGATCGATTATTCGTTTACATGATAATGCATATATCATTTTATTCATGGATGAATGAATTAAAACAAAAAAAGGACACTTACTTCATTCTTGTTATCTGATATCTGTACAGATATATTGGCTATATTGGCATTCATATCTGACCACCATTTTAATAGACTTGTTTCAGTATGTGCTACACGAACACGATCGCCTAAAGCTGGATTAATGATGAATAGTTGAGTGCCACTGTGCAAAAAAAAAGAAAGTAGTCACAAATGATAAAAATAGTAGTAATATTAGTCGCAGTCATTGTAATTGATAACTTTTTTTGTTGCTGAATGTATGATGTACAATCCTGATACTGATATAGACAAGCTTTCTATATATTTGTGTTTAACCAGTTATTAGATTAAAAAACTGAGAATGAGAAGGAAGTATTTTCTTGGCACAGAAGGCTCGATTGGCTTTTGCCAACCTGCGTCACTTATGGCGTAGGCGAGATATCCGTTTGCTGACTAAAGGACGAGTGTACTGTGCAGTGGTTCGCTCCGTCTTACTTTATGGCTGTGAAACATGGCCAGTAAGAGTAGAAGAGATTCTCGGGTTACTGGTTTTTGATCATAGGTGTCTCCGAAGCATTGCTCGTATATCCTGGGACAACCGAGTAAGCAATGCTGTTGTTAGGAAATGGGTGCTAGGTAAGAATGGCAGATCAATAGATGAAGTAATGAAACTTCATCAGTTGAGGTGGTTGGGACATGTGTTGCGTATCCTCAACCACCGACTGCCTCGTCGAGCTTTGTTTTGTAGTGTAGGAATAAGTTGGAAGAAAGTTAGGGGCGGCCAAACCAAAACATGGCACAAATCCATGAAGTCATTGGCAAGTGGACTGAGACATGTCAGTAGTTGTCGACTACCTGGTTGGGGTCCGCGAGATGATAATAATCCATGGTTAGATACCCTGAATGACATGGCTCAAAATCGTTCGCAATGGCGCCGGTGTATTTATGCTTTGTGTTCTCTCAAATCCTAATCTTCTAGATTCTTCAGCACCTCTAGTTTTGACTTTCTAAACTTATCTCACTGAATCATACTTCTTGAATAATATCTTCTAATCCTAACCTCTCCGACAACTGCTAATACCTTTACTACTTCTTCTACTATTGGATTTGAATTGACAATTACATCTCTGTGCTAATAATGTGGTATGGCAACATGAACTGATGTACTTACGTACGAAGTTCTACGTTGCATCTGACTGACTGACACTTGGCACAATTGAACTCACTAATTATACAATTATATAAATTTACTCTTAATGGACCAGGGTAATTATTTTGCATTGGTTTTCAGTAGGATCAGATACTGTTCAAGTGTTAAAATTACAAGCTGGACAGTACAGTTCAATCCTGTGGTGCAACCATACAGGTGTATCTGATACTCTGATGGACCATTTACACCAGTTATATACACCGATACATATATACAGTGATTATTTCGGATCCATGATCGCGTCAATCAATATGTACCGCATGAACAGGCCAGTTTGATCCATCCCACCTACATGACTCCCGACCGTAGCTGCTACCTTAACGTGGTGGTCGGGCTTGCCTATTAAATCCTTCCTACACCCG